CCAGCCACTCTTCCCCAAGCGTTGCATGGGGTTGTTGTGATCCAAGCGGAAGACCCTGCACTTGGCCTTGTGTAATCTCATACAGTTGGCCTCAGCCCATTGATTATGTCCTTAAATTATGTTATTATCCAGACAGGTTAAATGAGATTTACTCCAGTTTTACAAAGTTTCAAGAGTATTGACAGGCATAATGAAAAAATTAGTGAATCAACACAATTTCCTAACAAGAAATCATTAAAGATCAAATCTAAAAGCATTAATACTGCCTAGAACAAATTCACAAAAATATCTGACTTCAGAGGATACGTCTAAAAGACTTTTTTTTTTTTTTAAATCTCCAAAGGAAAAGCTGGAGAAAGTTTTCAAGTCTGGTACTATAAATATTTTAAGATGCAAAGACCACTTAAAACTTACCAGAGTTTCTTCAATAAAAATGTATCTATTGGAACTAGGAATATTCATCCCAGAATGACCCAACAAATAAAATTAGAATAAACATACTGCAACAAAATAGCTCCTCACCTGAGAGCACGGTCTGTGATCTGGTAACATCCAGACAGACTGAGAAACTGAAGAACTCGTGCAGTCTCTTCATCTGTATTTTCACTCCCAGAGTATGCAGAGTCTTTTTTCTCTGACTGCTTAGTCCTTGTTGGTTTTTTACACAGTGCAGAGGACTCTGGAAGTGCTCGAATAGTTCTTAGTGCTGTCCCAGCACAACAAAATGAGTGACCGCAGTAAATTAAGTCAGCAGAAGGACAGTGCTGCTGCCACCCTCTAGTCCTTAATCCATAAATGTCTCTACTGTAGCACGATGCAGAACAATTAATATGGGATGTTGGTTCCATAAGACAAAATCCTTCAACGTTTCTGTGTCTCCACTCTGCAGCATCTTCAATGTCAGCTAAATCATCTGTATCTAACATCCACACATCAGCAGAATTGAAGTTTTCTGAGCCATCAGGTTTAGTCCAATGCTGCTCACTACCTCCTCCCTCAATGAGGTTTTCATTGTTGATTTCATGCAAACAATTATACTTCTTGTTGGACTGCAGAGTAATATCTCTGTTTTTCCACAAAGTCTTAGCATTCCTGTTCCTGCAGCTTTTCAGAATACCTCTGGCATGGTGAGTTGATAGGATACCCAGTGCTCTGGAAATCCTCTCTATAGCCACATCTGTGATTTTTTCACATCCAGACAGATCAAGGTGGCGTAGATTTTGGCAATAACCGACTGAAGACCAACTGAAATCAGGCAAAAAAATGGTTTGGTTGGTTGAGTTTTTCCAGTTGTTTTTTT